TAGATCATTATCTCGTTTCAACGGATTTAGGTGGTCAGTCCCATAGATCCGTTGAAACGAGGTTTGACTGTATGTTTGATGTTATCATTGACATAACAAACAATTGCATCACCCAAGTAGTAATAACATCAAGGCCATTTAAAATGAAACTTTTAATAAATGCATGTCTACCCAGATCACTGGAATTCACAAAATAATTATTCTTCCTGATTATCAATTATGGTTCCTTATGAATAATAAATCTGACGTTGATCACAGGTATCAGATTTAATTAAAATTTTCCTGTCACTAACATGCGCTATGTAATTAGACATCATTCAACACTGTAAACTTTTTTTCACAGAAGAAAGGACTTGAACAAGTTGGAAGGCTTTGGACAAAACTTTCCCCTATCTTCCTCTCAGACCAGGCTTGGCTGTTACCATATAGGCATTGATAACTGGCAAAGATCAGCATTTGTGTGATGATTGCTTTGTGTTATTGCTAGAATAAAGTTGGTGTCTACAAATGGTTCAAAATCCTCCAATTTGGAAGGTTGCAACTTGGGAAGTTGCTGTCTTGGATTTTCCCTGTATTCGGAGTTTTGAGTCCTGGATTGCTGTCTTGTTGGTGGCATGCCTGCTCACCAACAACCATACCCTATTTAAATAACAAGTTCAGTTGGTAAATAAAAATAAAGAGAAACAGAGAATTTATGAAAATGATAAATTTATATATAACATACAAACAGATCTAAACCATTTTATTTTACAGCTTTCACTTTGATGCCAGTGATCATGGTGACTATCACAATAGGAGTGGGCAGAATCAAACTGCCACCTTTATACTTGTAAGATACATGCTCTAATTGAGCTACAATCCTTTAACCTAGGGTGGGAGGTTATATCAGCAAAAGTTCCCATTTAAAATAACAACAAATTCAGTTGTCAAATAAAAATTAAAGAGAAACAGAGAATTTGTGAGTGATTAATTTATAACACACCAAACAAAATCCAACCCATTTTATAACTTTTTTCTTTTTCTTGTTAGCCATATTGCAGACAAAGATGTATATAATTTTAATCTATAGGACAAGGGACTGATTGGGCAAAAACCCATCCAGTCCCCTACCCAAATTATAAATTGGTTAGTATCAGAGAAACAGAGAATTTATGAAAATGATTATACAAAACAAACACTATTTTACAATTTTTTGGCTAGCATGCCAGCAGCCTTCTTCTGGTGAGGGAAGATTAATGAAAGCGTCCTTGACAATTGATGCAGTCTTGGTAAACCCCAGGGCCATACACCCCCCCTCAAAATTCTGATAGCATCATTGTATGATCGGAGAGCCACGGTCATATTAGCCTCGTGTACTCGAGGAAGATGTGAGAGAATGACTATAAATGTTCAAGGCAGCATGCATGCTTCAACGCCTGCTAATTTCCGATAATCAAACATTGCATATTTGAATTGTTTCTTTTTTAATAGTGTATTGCCTTGACATCTTCTATTACAAAAAACAAAATGCCAATTGTTCGTTGTTGATAAGGATCTTATAATTACCCAGCAAGATCTGCTCCGCGTTTTAATTTCCAATTAAAATATTTATAAAAATACGAGTAAGAAATAGAATCTCTGGTTAGTTATTAACACTTTTTCTTTAGGAGACCCAAACAACAACACTCACGTTTTGTCACCTTGGACTCTGTCAAAAAATAAATTGTTTTTCCAAGAAAAAAAATATCAATTCGCGTCGACAAAAAAAAACAATAGCAGTCGTGGGACATGTCACAGAGAGTGTAATATGTGAAATTAAAATTTCAAATCAGATTTAAAAATATCTCGCCTTTCTAATAATAAACTTGAACTTCACTATTAAGATAAAAGAAACTACACCATTTAAGCTTTCTAACCATATATTTTTATATCTGAGAACGCACCCTATACAAAGCTATGGCTATTTAAAAGTAGTGGTGCTTTTTCACTTTAAAGTTGTTATTACCTACCAATATCGCGTTAAAAGACTTGATAGTAACAGACAAGGTGTGGATTTGTTTAATCAAACAAATGAAGACATTATTTGATTAAAAATAATTACAATTTTCTGGCTTTTGGGGCTATTATGCAAGAAAATATTAGCACTTCCGGCCATGCTGATAAAGCTGTCGGAAATTCATATTAATAAGGATTATTGGGTAATTGCTGCTCAGTTTTATTCTGCATTCTTTTCCGTGTGTTTATATTTTTCTTTCTTCTTCATAGGCAATAATTTTCTCTTTTCTTTGATAATCTTCAAGCATTTGGGTGTTATTTATTTTGAAAACATAAGGGGAGATTTTCTCACCTTGTTCTTTTTTTAAAATAATTCTTATAGTGTTGTAATTCTTGAGCTCCATTTCATACATCATTTAGGAAAGTAGAAACAAAATCGAAGAGAAAAATAGACCTTTACCCGGTAGATACTCTTGGATCAAATGATCGGTTTATACTATTGAATAGCATTCTGATCTAGCAAATTTCAATCACTTTGAACCTTTGTGATGTTATGTTCAGTTTGTCTGGTTTTGTTGCAGCCTGTCTATCCCAAATAAAAATACCTTTTGAGTTTAACGTATTCCCATGAGCCTTGGATATTGAGTTTTTTTTTTTTTTTCATTAATAATTAATACCATCATCTCTTTTAGTTAAAAAAATTTATTCATTAAAGGCATGTGGCAATCAAAGTCATGAGATAAAAGTTATTGTCACGTATAATTAATATATTTGTAGAATAAAAAGTCATAATCAATTTAAAAAGTAAATGGGAATAAGTAAAAGGCATATAATGTCTGTATAAAAAATGTTTATTAATTATAGCTTTAAATTTATCGAGTGTAGTTTGCATAATTAATTATTCGTTATTGACATTTATCGCAACATTATTGTTTTATTAATATTACTGTTATAATTGGTATTGGCATCATTTTTATTATTTAATAAACCCATTTCAATTACTCGATTATCATTATTGTCAAGAACATTATTGTTATTATTATGACCAATAGCTTCATTATCAACTTCTCTTGCAACATTTCCATTTCTACTATTTCCTCTCTCCTCATCCTCATCTTCACTATTCCAATCTTCTATAAATTTATAGTGTGCAGGTATATGATCCAGATAATTCCCATTTCCGATAAACCAATCTGAATTACCAAAATGTAATCTATAAGATATTAAACCTGAAAAAATTCCTAGAATTACACCTGTTATAACTTGAAATGGAAAATGACTGAAATCATTTATTCTTGTAATTGAAACCCATGATGCAAATAATAATGGAAGGCATAAAATTAAAACCTAAATTGAGTGTAGTTGTTATTCGATTCCATCAATTTATTAAAAATTAAATATTACAGAGAGAATAAAACTGCATGATGACTTACTTTCCACAAATGTGAACCACCCGCCCATGGCTAAATAAATAAATAAATAAATAAATGGATAATTCAATATTATCCATGATGACTATATATCATTTACCTTTGCTTTACCATTTATATATAATATGAAGAAAACCCATCCACCAAACGCGGTTGTTGAATGTCCACTTGGAAATCTTTATAATAATAATGATTAACAAAATAATGATAAATTAATTAATTAAAACAAAGTTGTAAATAAATAATTAAAAAAATCATCACTGATTGATTAACTGCGAATTAATTGATTAGTTAATTAATTAGTTTAGTTTACCCTTGAAATTCAGTACTTTCTAATTCTCCTGTACAAACATCATTTGTAAAATATTGACCTGACGAAGCATTTGCTGTTAATGATGGATCTGGTTGACATTTTGTTAAAAATGTTGGTCTAAGGCATAAAGATCCTCCAACAGTTGCCCACCCAAATGATGAAAAAAAAAATGCTATTACTTAAATTAAAACAGATAAATAGACATTTTATTATTCTATTATTTTATTTATTTTATCTCCAATAAAAAAAATACAATTGATTACCAGCACTAGTGACATGACCTGTAAACATATGATAAAAATTCCAAATGTCAAAAAAAAATATCAACTCGAGTAATATTAATATAACACCAGGTACAAATGTATTTATTATTGTTGCAACGTTTGCTGAAATTATTTCAAGAACAATTGGTTTCTTTAATGACTCATCACTTGACCTGTAAACATATGATAAAAATTCCAAATGTCAAAAAAAAATATCAACTCGAGTAATATTAATATAACACCAGGTACAAATGTATTTATTATTGTTGCAACGTTTGCTGAAATTATTTCAAGAACAATTGGTTTCTTTAATGACTCATCACTAATTGAAAAATATGGTGCTGTTGGCAAAGTCGTATTTTTAAACAACCTGAAATTATAAATTTATTAATTAAAAAATCAAAATCAAAAAATTCAAATTCATTAATTAAATAATTAATTACCAATTGCTTAAAATGAATATAGCAATAATTAGAATCCAATCAAACAATAATCCTAGAAAGACCTTATTTTTTCTGGATGGGAAATTCCATGGAGACCAATATTTATTGTAATTAATGGATGATGATTTAACGTTATAATAATCTTTAGGGAGCTTTATTAAAGGTAAAAATTTAAATTTTTTTTTCATTATAAAAGAAAATATTATTTCTCGTA